GCAACAATAAAGAGTTCTTTTTTTTTCTGAGGGGATTCGATATTTATATGTACTTAAATCGTCTTTCACCTGTGTAACATAGTAAAAACTACCCTCTTTTTGTCCATCATTTCGGTTAATGAAGCTACGAGTATAACAGTTGTGAAAACGCATTTGAATTCGGCATGAAATTTACTTGAGATCGATCAAACCATTTTTTTGTATTCATACCCTCAAGTTCCATAAATTTAATTTTAATACTTTAAAAAGTGTTTAAATATTATAGTCTTTGTTTGAAACTCAAAACAAAAAGCTAAGAGTAATTTAAAACATCGGTCTGATCGATCTTCTCTTCATACCCATATTGAATATATTTTCAAAATCATCATTGTTCCAACCGTATTGATAGTTAAAAAGTAGGTCATTTTGTCCATATTGCATGTGTGAAAGACAAATACAACACTTATCGGTATAGAATTTCCATAACATTTAATGCATTTTCATAATATATCTTTTTTCTTTTTGTTTTCAAAGTTATTATTATTATCATATACTTAATTTGGTATATTATCTTTATATTATTCAAACTATCTGTATTATTTTTCCTTAATCGTCTATAATACTCGTAATAAATAAATAATTTTTATACACACCGCTAAAAACGTTATTTATCGTATAAACTGTTTGAAATAAACAAATATTATATTATTTCTATTATATATTTCGTGTGCAGTTTGATCAAAGTAAGCAGGTAATAGAAACATTTTTTGTTAATAAAAAAACGTGTCAAGAGTGACTAGGGGTGGATTTTATCACTCATTAAGGGAGAAACTAATGAAGGTTCAAGAATTTAGTTATTTGTTTTATCTATATAATATATATAAAATTTTAAATTACAGAATATATTTTTGAGTCCCTCCTAAGAATATCATTTTTTTCACAATAGTGACAAATTTTAAATAGTTACATTATTGGTATACATTTTAATCTGAAACCATTTTAAAAATATAGGTATACACATATAATTAACAACAAAAATGAGCTATTTATTTATAAAAAAAATATATAAAATAGGTATCATATTCATCAATGACGACTGACGACATTTTATAATAATTATTAGTATTTCGATATATCATAATATTTGGCTTTGTGAAATAGTTAGCTTAGTCCCAATGAGGGGGGGGGGTTAATGCCCCTGAGGGTGACCTTCGGAAAATGTGAAAACATATCATATATATGAGCTTAGAGTTATAGATTTATTATGTAGAATTTTAAGTAAATATTCTTAATTTAAAACACGTGCTTTCATATTGTTTGTAGGATAGGATTGGAAATGTTTAAGAATTATATCTGTTCAAATTTTATTTTTCAGAACACAAAGAGGTATTAAATTGTATATTTTAAATAAAATGAAAGTTATAGTCGACTGAAGTCTTATATTATAAATAGGAATGGAAATTATGTCTTTAGTAAATCAAAAAATTAAAATTTATCAAATAACTTTGAATAGAATAAAAATTTACATAATAGGTAGGCATAATACGTACATGTTTACATGCAAATATATAAAAGTGGCAAACATATTTAACTACAAAAAACAAAATATCATCATCGTGTACATGCGTTAAAAAGAGAACGTATTCTATGCCATCGTTTTATCTTTGTCTAGTCGAGTCATGTGATGGACGGTGAGATTTGGGGTAAGCCAACGGTGTAACATGGCATTTTTCTTCGCGGGTCATCCACCGCGTTTTCCGCTGCCTCCAATTTATAATGTTTTATATTAGAGTAGCTAAACACGGCGTTTACGATCCATCGTGATCGGAGTATCGTTTTGATGTACAAACGCCGAAGCAATAAAAACGTGAACCTTAAATTTTCTATTATTTTAAATAGTACCTTGCTCTACAGACGACGGAAAACGCCGCGTATATACCATAATACAATAATCACAATAATTTTAAATAAATAAACTTAAAAAAAAAATTTATTTATATTATTAATTACTATATAGTAGTATAAACCAGTGGTCGGTAACCTTTTTGAACCCTTATATATGAAATAACAGTACGCTAAGTACTTTTTTAATGTCACAAAATACAAAGTATTGGTTCGCTTTGAAAAACGCACCTGAGTGAAGCGCGTTTGCGTTTTAAAATCACGGCGTTCGAAATGCGTAGAGACGCGCGTTCGAATTGCTCAGTGTGTAATCAACTCAAAGGTGTGATTCCTATGCACGCGGCCGACGCGGAGCGATTTAATTTTACCAGCGTAGATACACTACTTTACTTGTTTTCAAATATAACCGATTCGACGTACCGACGACCGCTTCGAGAGCAGTCAAATCGTACGAGCCAAGCGGTTAATAGCTCATATATCATTTATTATTCGTATTTTAGTTTTCAAAATTCGACATTTCGTGAATACTATGTGACACATAGGTACTATAAACTATAAATTATACTATAAACATAATATGTAAAAATTAACATATTATGTTATATTACCTTGGTGTGACTGCTAGTTTTTCAGCAGCAGTGATTAGTTTTCTAATTCTGATGTTTGGGTTGGTTTTTATGTCTTCCTTGACTAGGTTCAATATATAATTAAATTGATACCAGTTTAATCTGAACAATTTCCTGAATATTTGGTTTTGTCTCGCCATAAATGTTTTTCGATCAAGGCACTGAAAAATACTTCAGCTTCCCTAGCTATAATTATATTTCATGCACTTCATTTTTGTTTTTTTGACAGAACATATTTTATGATGCTTGTTCTTCTTCTACTCGTTTTAAAAGAAGTAGTTTTAAGATTCCTTTTTGTTTTCTTGTCAAGGACATTGTTTGACTAATAATAATAACAATAATAATATTTTATAACACATTTATATGAATACACAAAAATAACCTAGCCAAATAGACGACTTGATACAACAGTGCGTATAAGTGACTAATTATTTTAGTCTCGTAATGTTAGCCGTGCGTCTCCTTTCGCGTACATAGGAATCAATATGCATCCAATACATAGGAATCACGTATCACTGTTTCGTGCCACAATCATTATACCGAACCAAAATCATCATATATACGTAACATTTAATATTTCTAATAACTATTTAATTTATTAAATTGTTGAACACTTCACATCAGATGAGTCATCTGCACACAAAGTATTTGCGTTTAAAAAATAACTATACAAATCGGCCCAGTAAAACTTCAGATGGAACTGTCACGAAAATCGCCTTTCCTTTTAATAATAAAATAGGGACTGAGCACTACGTGAAAAAGGTAATGCTCGAAAATATCCAATGCCCGAGCGGAAAAATCTGAACGCCGTATAAGATGTTTTCACATTAAAAAAAAAAAAAAACAAATATCTTCTGATTTCGTGTATAACTCAATAATAGTACAAGGCATTTACCAATGACTAAAATTAGAGTTGTAATGTAATAAAAAAAAAAAAAAAAAACTGTACAAGAAAAACAAAAAAATCAAACATAAAAATATCATATCTTTTTATAGATAGTTCATAAACGAAGAAAGAAAAGACAAAAATAGTTAATATTATGTAATTAATGTGTAATAAAAATCAACTATTTAACTATATTACATTACATTTTGATGTTGATTTATATTATTACAAAGTTTACGAATTTTATGAGGTCATGTTAGATCATTCAAATATTTTGTTCATATAAACCATCAATAATGTAACATGGATCCACCAATAGAATATACAATCGTTTTTTTAAAAAAAAAACTTTGCCAACATTGGAAAAAGTAATTTTTATTTTGACTTAAACAAAAAAACTTTAAATTGGGAAACAATTAATTCCCTGTAAGTATCCTAGTTTTAACGGGAATTCGCTAGAAAATTGATTATTGTCTGGAGGTTATTGTTTTTAAATTTGTATTACTGTCGATCGTTACGTATAGGTATATATTATGTGACCCCGATTGGCCGACGCAAGTTAGTATACGGAATACGTCGTATTTGATAAAAATCTGAATAAACATCTGAAAAGTGACTAGTTCAACTTCCGCTATGAAACGAATATAGGAACAAAACGAATAATTGACATATTATCTGCCTGGAGCAGTATTTCTACGTGACGAGAGGCTTATAAGTGTGCCGAGTCGATGTCAAAAGCACCCGTTTCCCAGGATCTGAAAGTGTTGGTCAATTAAGTAGTACTCATGATAGACATATACATGACAGAAGAGTGCATCAACTTGAAATGGTTGATTATAGAGAATAAGTTCGACCTCTGGCCCGCGGCAATAGAAAATTATAATTTATTCTCTCTTCCGTAGAAACGGAACGAACAAAATTTATACTCATTGACGGTTTGTTTCGTATAACGATAAACGTGCGATTTTCATTTCGGTTTTAATTCATCTTGATTGGTAAATCATACATTTTTATACTTGCAAGTGGGCAGTGTCTACCTATATTGTGGTACAAGTAATTTTAGTTTTAATGCAGTACAGAATGATTTTTATTTTTCAATTCTTGTAGTATCATTATCATATCAGTACAATGCCACGTGGTCAGTAGATGTTATTTTTTTATTTTTTAAAAATACCGCACTACTAAACGAAGCGCATGGATCACGTACCGCACAGTACATATGTGTGTATAGTATATTTTGTAAATTTCAGGAACTAATCCAGACCACGATAATGAGGGGAAAGGGATGGAGGAAATACCAATTTAACAATCAGAGAGCGCGTTACTTTCAAGACGACACGTTACCTCCGGTTTGTACATCAGGGTTCGAAATAGGTTTCACTTCATTTCAAGTACATCTACTTGATTTTTAATGTACAAACCGAGGCTGGTACGTCTAAGAAAACTCGAATGTTTTTTTTTATCCTTTTCCTGCAACAACGAGAGCAGGGAGATTGTTCCAACTTCATCTCATCGTTCACCCCTATCCTCATCTGTCCTCAGATCCCGCGACCAAGTTTTATACGTCACGTAACAGGACATTTTCTATTTTCTATTTTCCGCCGCAGATCCGGAGTGTACGACGATCCAGCGTGCTCGGACAACACAATCAACCACGCCATGCTGCTGGTCGGTTACACGAAAGACGCTTGGATCCTGAAGAACTGGTGGAGCTCGAAGTGGGGCGATAACGGTTACATGTACATGGCCCGCGGACGGAACCAGTGCTCGGTGTCCAGCTACGCGGCCTACGCGACCGTGTCGTTGCCGCCCTCACAGCAGCACCGGCCGGAACAATAGTCTTTCGACGTTATCAGCCGGTGTTGCCGCGATAACGTTAACTAAATAGCGGTTTTGCAAAAATATCCGTACTCCGCGACTGTCGTTTTTTATTTATTTTTTTCTTCGGCATTATTGTGAAACAGTTTAAACCGTTATACATCGACATCATACGCGTCACGAAAGAACGTTTAAATGTGCACGTGTTATGTGATCGATCGTACTGCTCACCGGTAGCGCCCACAGGTTTTCCACGGACCGGTGAAATTACAATTGTAGGGCCCCCAGATCTATTTCGGTCTATACGACCGTATTTGTTTGAATAAAATATTTATTTTACGAATGCATTTTTTACCTTAAACAGTTTTGAAAAAATTGCAAATTTCTGTACAACATTTACTTTTAATAAGGGTTTTAATTTAAAATTTTACAATCTTCACTGGTTGGTATTGCTCACGGCAGTTTTTCAAATAAAATTACTTATTCATTATTGAAGATTTCAAAGTTAATACATAGTAATTTTGATCAGTGTAAATCACTTAAAGCATTGAATAAGTGTTGAATTGCTTTACAAAATATGTCTATTACTTCATCATAATTTATTTCTATACAGTGGTTACATAACATATTAACATAATAGCATACAAATCTTGAGGTGGCTTCTCGAGCCCTGACACAAACTTCCAATACAATCAATATTATTATAGTTATAAATGTACGTAGGCCCCAGGACCAGTGTGATTGTATCACTTAATGCCCTACGTGGGCGTCACTGCCGCTCACGTTGTAATATCGATTTGTTTATTTATTTATACGCTACCACATTTTCTGTGATAGAAGTACATTTTACATTTACATGTTTACTCATATTTATTTGTTCACTTAAAATTCATGCAATCAACACCGAGCCCCGCTCAAGAGAACTCGAGACCTTAGGCATATGCTAATGCTCATACTCTCATCCATCGGAACAAGGATTGTGTCTTTAGAAATATTATTTATATATTTAACCCACATCCGTATAAATTTCAACTCTGTTAAAAACAAATATTTATTGTATTATATAAATAATTCAATTGATAAAATTATGCAGTCTGTGTATGCTAATGTGTTTATATTTTGATTTACATAACAATAAACGTATATATTATAAATGGTTATCAATTAATCTACAAGACTATAAAATATCATTTGTTTATTATAATCATATTAAAAATATTAAAATTAATAATTTTTCAAAAAAATGGGACCATATAATTATTAAGTGGTCCCGTTTTTTGAATTCCTTTCTCATCCCTAATATTTATATTAGTTAAGTGTATGATATGTATTCGAATGAACATTATTATTATGCATTTGTTGCATTTTTTTTATTTTATTTTATTTTCATTGCTTTTATCTTTATGATATTATAGTATGACAATTATTGTCAATGAGAATAAAATAAAATAAAAAAAATGCAACAAATAAATAATAATAATGTTAATTTGTATACATATCATACACTTAACTAATAATTATTATTAGAATTTAGATACGAAGAAAAAAAAATTACAAGTAAAATAAAATAATAATATATAATATAAATATTATATAAATGATATAATAATTAATATAATTAATATAATGCTATAATAATTTGATAACAACAATTAATGGTAAGTAAAGTATTTTACATTTGCTGCATTATAAAATAAAAAATGATGAGACGCCATAATGAATATTATAAAGTAGGTTGAACTATAAATTCTTTAATTTTCTCAACAAAAAAAAAGCATCTTAAAGTTGGGGATATCGAACATTTTTAGTGCACATAAAAAGCACGAAATTCTTTAAATAAATTAGAAACTATGAAATTTTACAATATATCGATCCCGGTACCCTAGAATTAGCGCTTGGTGTCAACCACCGTAAACTAAAGATGGTCATTAACCAGATACCGAAACCTTGTTAGTGGCCGGAGTACCTGGAATTTTGTATCTTATAAAATAGACTGGAATTTTAAATAAAATAAGACATTGATTGTTGCGATAAAAAAATAATTATTTTAAATAATTAATAAATTGTTAAAAAAGAGTTATTAGTTTTAATTTGATGCGACGAAAGCTCCGACTAGAAAATAATGTAATATAAAAACAATATATATTAACAAAATAATTAACTTATATGATATATACGTTACAAAGTAAGTACATAGTATCGGGCATGACGTATTTGTTTCTAATAATAATCAAAATAATATCATTTTGTTTGCGTACCGGCCAGACGCTAGATTTTTATAACGATAATTTTTTATGCCCATCATCCACTCCAGATCTTCCGCAGACAGACGTCTCGTCGCGGGTGTACACCGAGTTGTGTTACTCCACATTTCGGAGCGCCATCATGATGATAATTATAATAAAAATAATAACACGTGTTTGTAGATATGCGCACACGATGGTGATCCGGTGACGAGAGAGAATGAGATTTACACCAGTACTTGTCAACGCATAATTATGTAACCGGCTGGTTCACAATATAACGGATATTGGTGTTGGATATACCATAGATGCTCAAAGGTGGGCAAATTAATAAAAATAATTTATTCGAGTTATGTTAAGAGAACATAAGATCAATAACTTAACAGTTAACAATTCATACATTTAACTGGATAAGTTAATAGTTAATAAGGAAAAAAATATTAACACAGTTTAAAATAAGTTAATCTTCTTCTTCTTCTTCTTGTGGGTTACGGCCTTCAAGACCATTCCTGCAAACAAATTTGCCGCCATCTTTCCTTATCTTCTGCAGCTTCTCTCCACTGTGTATTTGGTTCTACTGCTTTAACATCCTTTTTGATACGATCCTCCTATCGTAAACGCAGTCTTCCTAACGGTCTTTTCCCAGTCGGATTTTCTTTAATAACTGCCTTAATGAAAGAGCCCTCTTTCCTCCAGGCATGTCTAGCCCACATTGATCTTCTCCTATTAATTTCGGATATAATATCTGGTTTTTGAAACAAGTTCTTCAGTTCATTATTGTGGCGTATCCTCCATTCTCCAGTGTTAGAATCGATATATGGTCCATAGATTCTTCTTAGAATTTTAATAACACCGCAAGTCTTGTTTCCTCTACCTTTCTCAGTGTCCACATCTCAGAGCCATATAAAACTACTGGTCTTATTAGGGTCATGTACAATTGTATTTTTAATTTTGTCGACAAGATTTTTGGGCAAAACATACTCCCTGAGCCAAAAAAGCACCTATTTCCCATTAGAATCCTAGTGTCCACCTCCATCTTAAAAAAAGTTAATCTACTTTTTTTTTAATTAGTGTATAAATCACATAAAAAGTGACATTCTTTAGAAAGATCTAATTTTCTAAATTATAATAAACAATTTTATTACATTTTTCTTCATAATATACCGAAGTGTTTGAAAAAATACTATGACATAGTACATCAAGGGGCTACTCACTACCGAATTTATTTATCTTTAAAGTTAAAATTCTTTATTCATAATATTTCCACGGCCAGAACCCAATTTTCAAACGTGGTCCCCCCTTCCACAAAATCTAATTCGACATCTGATGTATATTATATACGACCATTTTACTTTACACGATTATTTAATTTTTATATTAATATTTACGATTACACGAAAAATTTCAAAATATTGTAACTGGATAGATAATTTTTAAATCAACTGTAAAAATATAGGTTATTTCAATTGCAAATTAAACTGATTACGTTGATAAGTTTATTAGAAAATAAACTAACTAGTTTATTAGCTGAGTTAGCCCACATTTGCCATAGAAGCAGTACCGGACAGCGGAGACTATCGCGGAACGACGTATTGTGAGAGGTGATGAAGAGCAGTGTACGTTCCGTACCGCTAATATGTTGTACAATTGTTTTAAAACAAAAGTTGCCTATAACAATAGGTGAAATGTAAAAAAAATATTATTTAACCACGATTATGTTTATCACAAAATGTTTAAATTTGATAACAGTTTTTTTTTTCACGCTGAGAAAATCTCATCAGTTATGCAAACACTGAAGTTTTGTCTACCGCGATAAAAATATTAGCGTTTGATTTAATGAAACGTTTATTTTAACATAATGCTTAACTGGCACCGTGCGGAAATACTACAAGCGTATATGTGTCCACTTGCGTATTCATTTATATTTACTTTTTAATAGCAATAAACAAATCACACGGATACCTAACGGTATCGTTATGACCCTCGGACCGATACACATGGATCAATCGCAATAAACGAGATCATTTGCACATAATACTAGCATACGTTATGCGTTCGCATTTCGATAACAATAAATTATTAACAATCGTGATTATAACAAGCGGCAATCACACGGTACACATTTCATTTACGTTTTCGTTGTATGACTGACGGATTAGCATTTATACGGTTGTGTGTAACTAAATCCAATTTAACTTTGGTTAACTTTGGCGACGAATGTCCGACTGTGACGGTGAACAGTACCTATTTATTATATTTATCAAAAAAGTTAATATTAGTTGACATATGAATACAGCACCGTATGAATGTAATAATTTATTTACAATCTCGTTGTTAGTTACCAAGTTAAAAAAAGTACATAGAATAAAATAATGAAATAATCAATGAACAGTAACATATTACATTAATTTATATGCAACGTTCCACAGCAATTAAGGTAACCTCTTACGTTTTTCTCGTATACTATTGTTATGCAATTATCATGCATTGCTTACCGGGTATTAACCGAATCGTGTGGATATTATTTCCGATTTCAATTGTCTGGGCAACTAATTGCTATTCTAATTGAAATTATTCGAGTGAAAAAAAATAATTACTTTTATACATTGTATATGTCGAGAAGCTGCTGACAACATAAAATTAAAAAAAAATATAATTATCAAAATCATATTTATTTCTTAACGACAGAACTGAGTGAACAAATTTTTTTTAATATTCGTCCATTTTTTTTTTTAAATATAAATTCGATCTCAATGGAAAACTCATGCAATTGTACATGGTCTAAAGATTATTTGTCTTCAATTTTTTAAATGTAGAACTATAGATGATATCATCTACTACACTTAAAAAAAAAAAAAACAAGTACTCAGATATTCTTTTATTTAAACATTCTTATAAGTACAAAAGATGTTTTTAAACAGGGGCGGACTGGCCAGAGCGGAAAGGCGGAGAAGTCCACATGGACTGGTCAATATAGAGGTTATAAATTTAAATTATAAATTTGTGATATTATGGTAAATTGGCTGTTTATCATGCAGTCTAGTCTATTATTTAATATTTTAGTTCCTTATCCGCTATAATCAATAACCATTTAATAATATGAATATAATTCTTTATATCAGCGTTTCTCAAACTGTGGGTTACGAGCCCCTAGGGAAGTTTTATTAATTATACAAATTGTAAGAAATTTACATAAGTAATAAAATAGAAAAAATTTGTTTTTTGAAATTGTATTTATTGATTCTGTAAGTGTAAAACCATAGGGTCACGATAGATTTTTGGAAGAAAATTTGGGTCGCGGTCCTAAAAAGATTGAGAACCACTACTTTATAAAGTGTTATATTATTCAGTTATCAACTTAGTGTGTTGGCATTGTTGCCAATGAGTATATTTAGCTGTTAATAGCTCTTGATATCTACTTATTATAATATTGTAATTGTATCGGCTGCCACCCAACAGTTCACTTGTAACATTTTTATCAAAAAACCACAATCAACAAAATAATTAATTCCATCCTAAATTCTATTAGAGATAAAATAAAACAAGAAGTAAGTGGTTAGAAGTTTAGTATTCAAGTTGATAGCACACAGGATTTTAGTGTTTTTGATCAAGCGGCTATCTGTATTCGATACATATTTAATGGAAATGTTACTAGTTAATGTAACAGATTCTTCAGGTGAAGGGTATTATAATATGTTGAAAAGTTTTTTTCTGAAACATAATATGTATTTTACCAATGTGGTCGGAGAAGCGTTCGACGGTGCATCGAATATGAGAGGAGAATTTTCAGGTTTACAGTCTAAAATAAAAGAACGAAATCCAAAAAGTATATACATTTGGTGTTATAGCCATGTACTCAATTTGTGTATTTGTGATACATGTCAAAATATTAATGCTAAAAATTGATTTGGCTTTTTAAATAGACTGTCAACTTTTTTTAGAGAATCATACAAACGCACGAACGTTTAGATTGAACAAAATAACACCAGTACTGGAACAAACAAAATGAAATGACTTAAAAAAATCGGAGACAACAATACAAGATGGTGATGTAGAGAAAAAGCGCTCTTTTGGCTATTTGACGGCAATGAACCTCTATTTTCAACGGTAATTTGTGCATTACATTTTGTTATTAACTCTCCAAAATTAAAAGTTAAAATTTGTTCAGAGGCTTTATCTCTTCTGGAATAATTATGTTGCTTTAAAATCATACTTACTTCTCATATATTTATCCGAATTTTTAAAATTGTTGGCCCAACTTCATGATACCTCCAAACAATAGGTTTAGCCTATTTAACATTTATTAACTGCATGGAATATAATTGAGTGTGTTAAGACAGAAATTTCGAAAATAGATTTTAAAAGTGCTTATGACGAAGCTTACTTATTTTCAAAGAAAATTAATAAACAATTTTCCAATTTAAACCTTCCTGAAGATTTCATTGTTGAAAACCATCTGCAAACCTCTAGAGTATGTAGAAAAATAAAGATTATATGATGAAATATGTGAAGACCAAGTTCTAACTAACCCAAAAGAAAAATTCAGAGTAGAAACTTTTAGAATAATAATTGATCAAATATTAAGCAGTCTAGATCAAAGGTTTTCAAACAATAGCAATTTAGTTGCATATATCTAGTATTTAATTCCTAAGAATTTTAACCTTGTTGAAAATATGCTAGATGATACTTTAACACATATAGCCGACCTAATTAATATTATAAAAGAGATTTAAAAATGGAGTTATACAATTTTTCTATAATTATCCCAATTTAATAACGTCAGCTGTGGAAATAATTAAATATATATACAAACACAGCACAAAAAATATTATTAATAGTGAGATCTCTAGTTATGAATCATCAGCAGAAGTTAGTGATGAAGAAAATATGATCTCTGATGTTTTTTGTAAGTCAAATTTAAATTAATTTAGTTTTTTTTTCCTTGAATTAATTTATATTTAATTTGTTCATTGATTTCAGATAATACAAATAAATGCAAATTATACAAATTTGATAAAATTCACAGTAAACAGAGTTGTTTAATTTGTATAGATAAAATACTATATTCTCTAAATATGCATGTTTCTGCATACAGTAATTTATGCATGGCATATGAATATTTTTTAACTTTGTCTGTAACTGAAGTTAACTGTGAGAGAATATTTAGCAAACTGAAGATTATAAAATCCCGTCTTCGTTCCAGTTTATGTCAAGAAAACTTAGAAGCACTAATTGTTATGCCAGTAGAGAGACAACTACTAGAAGACATTGACATATCCCAAGTTGTAGAGTATCTTAAATACAGTTCAATTTTAATGTATAAAATGTTATCCTAAACTGATATTATATGTTGCTCCTTAATAATAAATTGTTAACTTTTTTTCCCTTACCTACATTGATTTATTTTCCTCATATTAAAGTAATAATTAAATTATTTTACTATTTGCCTATACATGGAATTATAATTTATTTTATATTACAAACAATAACTTAGGCAATAACATAGTTAATAATAAATTGAGATAAAAATATTTTAATACTACTATTTAGGTGGGGCTACAATATTTAAATTAGAAAAATTGGGAAACTTGCATGTTTTTTTAGTAGAAGGTGGAAGGCGACAGAATCGCTATATTTACATCTATAATAATAAAGATATTATTATACTTTTAGGCCGGTATATTTTATCTCCATCTGGGCTGATATACTCCCAGTCCCCCCTGTTTTTGAATACTTATAATTTGAAAACGGATGTTGTAGTAGTAAAAAAAGTAGTAATATTGATTGCACTATCGCACTAAAATATACCAAAAATTGCACTAAAAAATAAAGATTCGTGATAATTCATAAAATAACGTTTATTTTATCTGTCATATATTATTGTAATTTCTATATTATACCTACATCACTGACTCATAATTTAGAATTTATAAAAATGTATGAATGAAATATATAAAAATATATACTTACTTAAGAATGTTATTACATTAAACTGTAAGTAATTTTTTTAAAATTATCACAAATCGTAAAACTTATGCAACAGTCTACCACTAATAAATTCTTTTGTCACCCAACTAATGCAGAAAATTATAGAAATTCTGCCAATTATCATAAACAGCCTTAATACTAACTCAAATGTATAATCATAGTATAGTTGTATTATATTGAAACGCCAACGGATTGAAAAATAATAGAAATACTTTATTAGTATTAATATCACCATAATATTGATATCGCTTGCATAACCGAAACTCACTTATCAAATACCGAAAAAATATATTTTCAACTCAACTAACCATACTAGCTGGACCGTTCGAAATAATTTAATAAATATTTGTGCTTCATATGTGAGAGATAATATTTTTTTTGAAGTTAAAAAGTGTGGCATGTTTTCCATTTCATATGATGAAGCCAGGTAAATAAAAATAAATATTTTTAAGAATCATGCTTAGTTATTTTGTAACAGTTCAAAATAATAAATAGCAATGTGTTTGAATACAAATCGCATAAAGAAGAGCAAATGTCCATCTGTATCCGTTATACAAATAATTTAAAGGTGAAAGAACGTTTTTTAGGATTTGTTGATGTATCATATAGTCAAAATGCTGATGCATTATATTCATATATTATCAACTTTCTACATTTTTGTAATTTATCAGATATTCCAATTGTTGGCCAGTCTTTTGACGGAGCAAATGTAATGTCTGGTCAGAAAGGAGGTGTCCAAACTAAACTTAAGCAAATTTATCCATACGCTATATACATTCATTGTATGGCACACAAATTAAATATAGTGATTGTGGACACATGCAAATATTTGAAGGTAATCCAATTATTTATTATTTGTTTGAAAAATATTTTATTACTTAGTAACAATTAATAATTTATAATAATTAAAACTTTTTTTTGTTTATTTAGTATCTTAGAAAATTATTTAATGGACTAGAAGCGATATACGTACATTTCTCATATCCTTCAAAACAGGTTCTATTTTTATGTGCACCACGAATGTACAAGTATGCACTACGGTCTACAAAACAAAAATCAAATAATAAGACTAGGAAATATGAGTATTATTGAATTTTTTCAAATTGAATGCATATATATATATTATGTATGTAATATATTCCTTTTTCTAAGACATTAGCGAGACTAAATTTTCATTTAAAGCAGTAAAATTAAGTGTGCAGTTCGAAATTGTACAAATAATAGAGCCTGTTTCAAAAAATAAAAAATTCAATGAAATTCAAAATCAACTGGGTTTGAAAAAAAAAATCATTAGTTCAGTTAAGTGAAACAAGGGCCTGTCGTTTTAATAGTTGCAGCTCTGTCATACAAAATTATGGTGTATTAATTCAGTCTTTAAAAGAGGAAATTGATGCTCAAAAAAATAAAGATGTCGCTGAAGCGATTGGTATTGATTTATGTACATTTATATGTAGATTCATATAATTTATAATTTCTGTCGGCGACCGTGCCTTATCTCTCTCATCAACCACCAGACTGCGGCACCCCGTCCCTCCCATTCATCAATGGTCAGTGAATGCGAACGGTCGCGACGACGTCCGCACGGCAACACTATCGAACCGATCCGTTTTCGGTCTGTTCTCGAAACTCCGTGTACGCAAACACTTGTCTCATTTTCCGATCGGTGACATTTTTTTTCCTCCAGTGTGTTAATCTACATCATTGTTATTTTTAATTATTGTATTCAACGGTTTACACCGACTTCATCATTTTATTATAATATTAATAATACTATCATTAAACATTGTCTGACATACCGCACCTTTGGTTTTGTGTTTTTTCTCTTTTATTATTACCATTCTATCTTTAATGTTGTGCATCGTGCCGTGACACTCCGGCCCATGACAAGTGCCCGGAGGAAGAGACTTTACACTTCAACACTTGTCACTTGCGTAATTAGTTTGAGTTCCTCGAATCTTGTTTCAAAAACATTCGCTTATTGAGAGGACTGCAATAGCCGGAGGCTCTTGATTTTATCCTTCATAATAATAAACAATTTGGTATCTGCTTTTGTAAAAAAAAATAGTAACGGCGTCGATCATTAGCGGTGTCTGATAAAGGACATGGACAAAGGACATGAGTAACATTATGTCTGTAATGACTGTAATGCATATATGTATATAATGATGTATAATACTATAACGCATTGGTTTTCTATAGATGGATCGTGACCTAATTTTGATCGTGATAAATCTTCTATTTAAAATTTAAAAATATTCATATCCATATGTATTGTATTACATATATTGGATAAAATTATTTTCGAATATATCCGAGACTGTAGTATTTTATACTTGTTGAAGATAAGAATGAACACTCCTTTCTCATACACTCATACTTAATTAGAAAATAGTCTCAATCAACATGCGACGTATGCCACTAAGCATTAACTATCGAACACATAGTGGAGGAGTGTACACAATACACCTAAATACTTACCGACCTTTTTTTTTTTTGTGTTTTAACTGACGCCAACAGGGGAACAGTTAAATACTCACCGATCTGAACATGTCATTTAACATAGTAGAAACACTTGACAATAGTCAAATTCTGAAAATTATCACATTCTTAAGTATCATTGATATTATTAGTAAATCTTAATTTTAAACCTAAATTTACTTATGCAGAATGTAATATTGTAATTTTAAACCTAACACCTAACACATGTAATATTTAATATCTAATAACTTTTTTGTTTCTCTAATCCTAATAACCTTTTCCGTTGAAGCCTTAACTGTTAAATAAAAAAGAAATAAAATAAACAATCAAATTAAGTAATAGCAATAGTCCGGTTTTATTCATAAAACTCATTTAACTTATTAAAATCTAGTATAAACATATAGCACAGTATTACATATTAAATAATTATTAATTTACTTTATTTTTATTATATTAGTATTTAATTTGATTTAAAAAAATGAATTAATCCATATGATTCAATCAAAATGACCGTTTATATTCATAATTTTTATTTTTCATAATAATACTATTAATGGGTTTAGAATTATCTAAAAAAAAAAAAAATAATAATAAAGCCTTAAAAAGTTTGTTATTAGAGCAGTGTGTATTTGTAACACAATTGTATCTTGGAAACATAGTGTCAAACATTTCACCATTTCACAAAAAATATTCAAATGCATCAAAATCCGATAGTAATATGTTGATAAATTACCGATATCTGATCTGTAGCCCTATTGGTTGATGTGAATATTTGTTTATTAATTTTTATTTTAATGTTGCAGTTTTTTTTTTCTATCATATTAAATTTCTTCAGACGTTCTTGTAACTGTTCAAAAGTGCCTACAGAAAACCAGAAAATTCAAAAGTGAATTTTCGTGATAATTATTTAAACTAAAAAAAAAAATCAGCACACAAACTTTATTTGATAAAGTTTTTTTTTAGAATTGGAAATATTATAGGTATGTATAGTAAAACTTCCGTTAACAGTTACCTCTATGTAACAGGCATTTTATTTTGGGACCCGTCAAGCGTAATGGAAAAAATACATTAATACCTTTGTATAGCGGGCACTCTAATTAAGAATTAAAAAATATCAGATAAACACATAATAGAAAATGCAAGTACATACATATAACAAATATATTGAGCGCAGTCAGCCTGCATTATTCATGGCTGTATATAGTAATCTTATCGAACTTTTAAAATAACACCATGAACAGCTATGGGTCTGTGTATTTTATTATGTTTCATTAGTTTTTTGTGTCAGTTGAAAACTTATTGAAGTACATGGTTATGATAGTGTCCAAACAAACATACCTAACAGTAGAAGAAAAAATCAACTTGTTAGAATATTATTAAAAAGAACATGTAAGTATGGATTCACAGATATATTTGAAATGAGGAGAATTTCAGTCGATGATTTAATAAAAATAAATAAAAATATTGTCTTATAGCTATAAAAATCAAACGGTAATGATGAAATAAAAACTATAAAACGTCGTAAAAACCAATCAATTAACATCAATGATATTGAATGGCTTTATGCTGCATATGTTGAAAATATTTCAATCAGTGGACCAAGAGAGACTCAGAGAAAAGGTTTTACAGGTAAATAAAGAACTCAAAATTGAAAACCTTAAAGCATCAAATGGTTTGCTAGATTAATTTAAAACACGATTTAATACTCGTATTTCTTTTAAAGTTGTTTGAGGTTAAATTAAATCGGTCGTGATGGAAATAACGGTCGAATATAACTTATAAAATTGAAAATATTAATTTATTCTCATGACTCCTGAAATATTTTTAAACCCGATGAAACAGGAATGTTCTATAAATTTTTTCCTTATATTCTCCCCTCGTAGAACGTTGAATATATTTATTATCATGTGCATAATATTGTTTGATTGATCATTTGTATGCACTCTATGTACCTATATAGTGGTCATTACTTCCAATCCCTTCAGTGAAAGTTACATGGAAGTTTCACTTTACTTAAGTTAAAACCGGCATTGAAGTGCCACATACTAAATTAATGTTGTGTGTAGTACAGCAAAACGTTTACAAATGCAAACATCAATAGTCCATCCAGATGACGTTGATCAACATGTTTAATATAATACATCGGTGTATTTAAGTCCGATTTATCGGCAGTTGTGTAGGTACAAGCATTTATTCTGTTTGAAATCTCGGAGTGATACTATACGAGTAGGATCATAGATTAAAAAGAGACATTTGTATTTGCATATTTAGAGGGAAATCCATCGTTATTTCTAATTTTCAATTAGTTGCATAATATAACAGGCACATTTTATAACATAATTACTATAATTTAGTTATTTTTAGAAATTTGTAACTCGAAATAATTTAATCTTATTTTATACTTTGAGTCATTTTTAGTATTAGTTTATAAAAATCACCTAAAAGTTAACATACTCTTCATTTGTGGCCAAAAACTAATATCCCATTTATTGGTTCATTGGTCCGAATGGTTGAAAATCCCAAAAATATTGTAAAATAATGCTATTTCTAAAGAAAGTAAAAAAATAATTATGCCCAAATGATTAATAAACTATAATAAACAGGTAAAAAAAAAATAAAAATATTTTAAAATATTGAGCTTTAACAAGTTAACTACATAAGTGTAATTTTATAAGAAATCTTCAATGAACCGTTCTTTAATTTCAATAATATTATTTCATACCTCGTAATACGCATTTCTCATCCAGGTACATCATTTTTTTTCTCATCCAATAAAGGTTTAATAATATTAATAATATCAGTATTCATGTTTATCCACTGTAAAAAATGCAATCACTACATTTTGGAGATTGTTAAACGTTTTTATTCGTTAATTTAATCAACCCATTAAGCCATCTCAAAACAAAACAGAGAGAGAGTATAATAATTTTGAAATTAAGGTTTTTATACTATTGGTAATACTAGTTATTTTATTTTAAACATTTTTATTACTATTTAAAGGAATATTGAAAATTGTTCTTTAGTGATATTAAACCGTTGATATTAAAAAAAAAAAAAAACTTTCTATTTTTAATTTTTGTGATTGTTTCTTTTTTGTGTTCGGATAATTTTAGGAACTTTAGAGAGAAAAATCGCTTTGATATTTTGTTTGTGTGAATCATTGACCTTAATGTGTTCACCATATAATTCGATATCTACGCATTTTTTAATTATTCTTCAACTTATAGTATTATTGTGCAAAAAAATCACATGCTGTTAAGTGCGGTCTGAGAGTCATATTTTTCGTTTTTTCTTTTGAATTTGGCACTAAATCTGTGTTTCTTTTTTAATGGTTCGTCCCGAAACTTTCAAACAAGGGTATTGTGAAGCCGTCAAGTTAACGCGTCTATTGTGTTCAAGCTCGTAAATTTTTAATAGATTGTTTGCTTATTCGTGTGTAGATTAATTTTTTTTTATGTTTTTGTTCTGCACGCTAACTTTCGCCAAAAACAATGGGTGTTCGGACATTTTGTTAACACCGCTCTTCACACATAGCCCGATTGAAAATATATGTGGCAAACCACTTGCCCGTCTTGGACGTGATATTATGACGTCATAATCACAAGTGTAAGTTTTCCTTTTGAAAACGGCCGTTTTTAATTGTATGGTCCATAGAAGTGGTATAGTATTCAACAAACGTTGTTGTATTTAATGTAGAACAAGGATGTTGGATAATCGCGATACCGGGATACGAATTTCTTCTCGAAAAAATCATGTATTGTTAAAGCATAACGTAATACACATCTAAACGTGCAATACAATGGATTGTAGAATTTCAATATTGTAACAAATCAATACAATAGGTTTAAATAATTTCAACTAATCCAATTTATGCGTGTCCAAATTATACATGTTCGTTGTTCATCTGGTCCTACATCACCAAAACATTACGATGTTTGAAAAAATTAACATTACAAAAAAAAAACAATGAAGATTTCATTTTTTTT